CTCGTGTTTTAATGAAAGAAATACCTCTGTCAGTATTTCCTCGGAGGAGCTGGCTGCAGGTCTCGGATGGCAGTCCGATTAATTGGAAATCCTGGCTTGTCAGTGCCACACTCTGCTGTCAGGGGGCTGGGCCTGGGTCTGGGTGAGCCTGGGCCACCCTGAGGGACATAGAGCCAGGAGGAGATTCATGGCTGTGCTGCCATGAATCAGGTCTGTAGTGGGGGAGCCCGACTTCTGGGGGTGTCAGGAAGGTTTGATGCCAGAGGAGACCCTGGATCTGAGTCTGTAGGAGAAGCAGGCAGTCACCCAGAAGAGCTAGGGCCAGCAGTATGACCAGCCTGGGGCTCCAGGTAGAGCTGAGGTTGGGGCTTGCTTTCAGGAGGATAGGAAGGAGCTTTGGGGCCTCTTACTAACGTGGTATGTCTGGGAGGGAGCTGACATTCTAGACCCTACTCTGGAGCCCTCCCCACTCCTCAGCTGGAATTTGCTTTGTCCCCCCTCTACTCCCAAAGTCCACTCATTTGAGTTCTTGGCACTGCCGCTGCATGGGGCTGCCCTTTTGTCAAAGCTTGTAGGCGGCAGTGTTCCTTTCAGAGTGAGCATTGTAGAAGTTAGGGCAGCCTCCACTTTATGAGTGGGGAAGGTGAAATGACCTGACCTGTCCCATTAGCCCAGACTGTACTGGTCGTGAGCGACAGAAACCAACTGCCAGTGCTTGAACACAGACGGGAATTTGCTAGCTCACATCACTAAGGAGTCTAGGGCCTAAAGGGATCCAGAAAAGGGAACAGATGCCTTCAGTTGGGTGTCCCCCCAAACCCCTTTGTTCTGGCCCCCTGTTATGGTGGGGCAAGTTGGTGGCGGGCTTCAGGGTGCCTTCCCAGCCTGTCCACCATCTTAAAGAAATGATGGTCTTTTTCTAACAGCCCAGGTAAAGACGGGATCTCCTGTCTTAGAGTCCTGTACTTGTTCAGGTAACAATCACCATGGTGGGTGGAACCCAAACTATGCCCTCATCCTGCATCCCAGGGTCTTGTTAGTCCCTCAAACCACAGATGGTTAGTTCCTCAAACCACTAACCTCAAACCTCATTAGTCCTCCCATAGATGGAGGGCCAGTTTCCCAAGGAAAATCAGAGGATGTGCTTAAAGAAGGGAAGTGGAGGGAGGGGACTGCTAACGTGTTCCGCTGCAGCTGCCAAACCTCGCTGCTCAAAACTGGAGCACCAGGATTCAAACCTGAGTTCCGGGGGGTGTCACTGCCAGGAGGGCATTACAGGATCCATGTTCTATCCGTCCATGAACCTCTGCCGAGTGACAAGCCAGCCTTCCCCATGGGGGTCACCAGATTGGAATAGAGGAGTGGCCAGAAGGATCCCCTGAGGAATTAATTCATGCTGCTTAGGTAAGATCATTAAGCGCCATCTGCCTAGAAGGGTTTTGGACGGGGAAACTCTCTTGTTATCCCGTCAGAAAGTGGTTTTCAGGGCTATATTGTAGCTGCTGAGCATTGGTGACAATTTTTTTTTCTGGAGTCCTGAGGTTGCAGCTCATTTATTTGAGTTTCACTCAATAAATACTTGCTGAGCACCCCCGCTGGAGGCAGGACGTGAGCTAAGGTGGAGATGCAGTGGGGAAGCGGCCACCATAGGCCAACAGAAGCTTGTGGAACTGTCTCTTCCTATAATCCAAAGACTTCAGGGGGTGGAGCAGACCAGGCTATGCCACTGGCTGAATGGGTAAACTATGTACTCTTTTCTTTCTACAAACATAAATTCTCCCATCCAGTCTTTGTTGAGCATGGTGACAAGTGCTAGGCAATCAGCCCCAGTCCTGTAGGGTTTGCAATCCAGTGACATCCACATAAGTGGAAGCTCCCAGGTTTCTAAGCCGTGCTCAGCTGCTGAGATCTCTTTCCTTTGCTGGGGCCTCACTTCACTCTTGCTGCTGTCACCGTCCCGGCTTCAGGGCACTCCCCTGCCAGCGTTTCCAGTATGGGTATAAAAGCGTTTCATTACATGTGGCCTAGTTTAGAAAAGGTCAGAATTTTCAAAGATAAGATTTTCTGAAGCCTGGAGCAATGCTGGCCAGGAGAGTGTTCTTCAGTGATGAGATGTGGCTGGTGCCGCAGAGCCCCTTGCATGACCCTGACCTCGGCCAACCACTTCCACTCACAGCAGCACGAGGGCCAGATGTGGTCATCCCAAGCCACAGGCCAGCACCAGCCTCATGCCAGGCACCACCCTGGGGGCACATAAATCTGCAAAATTTGCGGCCTGGGGGTTAGCACAGTCATCTTGAAAAATAAATGGTATAAATGCACATTAGTTGTTGTTCAGTCACTAAGTTGTGTCTGCCTCTTTGTGACCCCATGGACTGCAGCACACCAGGCTTCCTTGTCCTTTACTATCTCCCAGAGCTTGCTCAAACTCATGTACACTGAATCAGTGTTGCCATCCAACCATCTCATCCTCTGTCACCTCCTTCTCCTCCTGCCTTCAATCTTTGCCAGCACCAGGGTCTTTTCTAATAAGTCAGTTCTTTGCATCAGGTGGCCAAAGTTTTGGAGCTTCAGCATCAGTCCTTCTAATGAATATTAAGGGATGATTTCCTTTAGGATTGACTGATTTGATGTCCTTGCTGTCCAAGGGACTCTCAATACACATTAAGGTGACTTGCATTGAGTATTAACAACAGAAACTCTGTTCACACTCTTGAGACTGTGTGTCTGTTTGGGAAGCACCACAGAATGGCCACATTCCTTCCCAATGTGGTCGCAGGTGCTGTGGAAAGCTGTGAATGCTACAGAGCAAGGATGAGTTGATTGACTTGTAGATTGTCTAAAAGAAGTATCAGCAAACTGTTCTGCAGGAACAACATTTTAGGCTTTGCAGGCCACATATGGTCCCTGTTACACCTCCCCTCTCTCCATTCCCTGTCTTCCTCCTCACCTGTCTCCCTTTAGGAGCTGTGTGCTGGCTGAGGGCTTGAACCTATTCAATATTATCCAAGCCTATGGCTTGGTGTCCATCCCTCATATGCATTTGGCTAAAGGTCACATGTCAGGTACAGGCTCTTAATTAGGGGGATCCCTGAGGCTCCAGCAACAGAGTCAGAGTTTGGGAAATGAGGTTGGTGATGGGCTGGAGACTGGCTTGGGGAGGGTCTCTGTGTGGCCCTGCAGGGAGAATGTGGTCAGTCTTTCTCTCCAGAAAGACAGCAGCAGTGCAGAGTGACTGAAGGTGGTGACTACAGTGAGGGCTTGCTTCACTGACCCAGGAGAGGCTTCCACTTGGGGTATGGGCATGAGCTTCAGTGTCCCTATGATGAAGAAATGCCCTGTCCTGGTTCTGCTCCCTGAGAGCTGGGCTGGGTGGGAGTTAGAAGTTCCTGCAGTTCTCTTGTTGGCTCCCACCACGTGCAGTGGATGCCCACCTCAAGACATGAGGACATCAAGGGCACCTTGGGTGTAAGGGCACAGCAGCATCCATCCATTTCCACCCAGCAGGACGGCATCCATGCATCCAGCACAGGCCCGGGGGCCCAGCACGGGCCAGGATGTTCATGTGATTCTGCTCTGTGTCTATCATGGACAAAGAAAAAGCTTGGGCAGTTCCTAAGGACCCCGTCCATCTCATCATCCCATGCCACCACCCTGCCCCATATCAATCCCTCCTACACTCCTCACCCCATTCCCGGTCCCCTGTCCCCTGTCATGGCCGAGCAGTGGCTGGGCCTAGCCCCCACATGCACCGGATAAGCCTAATTACCACAAAACCTAATTCTTCCAGGCTGCATGCTCTGGTCAGTGGGGACTCCCGTGTGTTTTCCTTGGCTGTCTTCTGACAATAGGATTGGGGGAAAGAAAAGCAATGTGGGGAGGGCTGTGGACTCTGAGGGCCCCAGGCTGCTGCTCCACTTGGCAAAGCCCACTAGCACTCTGGTTTCTGGGGTTGGATCATCCTCTGTTTTGGGGTAGCCTGGGGTTCCACAGGGCTGCCTTCACCCAGATGCCAGTACTGTCCCCTACCCCTGTCGTGATGTTGTCTAGTGTCAAGCTGATCCAGAATCTGAGGGGCTGAGGGAGATAGACCTGTATACACCCAACGGATGTGTCTCATGTGCCAAAGGACCAGGTGGCTTAGAGCAGGGAGGGTGACCTCCCACTGGTGAGAGAGAAACTAGCCAGAGAGGAGATATGAGCAAAGAGCTGGGGGCATCTGGTAGGTTTGGGGAGCAGAGGAGGAAGTGTGATGTGGCAAGAAGCCTGAGCCCAGCTCCCCTGCAGGCCAGGGTCTCCACAATGGGTCTGTACAGCTCAGGGCCAGTGGGGACTGGGTGCAAATGACTGCACTTTCTAATCTAACGATGGGAGCATCTAATCTAAAGACAGGAAGCATGGCTCCCCAGGGAGGCTGGGAGCCCGTCTCTGAGCCGCTGTCACACAGGTCCAGCGTGTAGGGGCTTCATGTCTTGACGGATGAGGGGCTGCGTTCCTTTGTTCTGGGGATGTCACAACCCCGTGCCACGTGCAGCCTTCCAGGGGGGCCTGCGGTCCAGTGCCCCAAGGCAAGGCAACGCGGGGCGGCACCTCACTCCTGGGTCGTGGCTCTCAGAGCAGCCCTAGCAGCTGGTGCACTCTTTATCCTCCTCCGTACAGATGAGAAACTGAGGCACAGAGCGGCAGCAACTCAACCAGGGACTTGCTGCATAGAAGCCAAACCCGAACTGGACACCTGCTCTGGCTCCTGCCTCTGCCCTCGGGAGTTTCCGTCAAGGTTCCCTCTGCCTGGGTGTCTGGTCAATTACAGTGCACGAGCACAGATACATGCTGCTCATGTACACATGCACACACCCTCACTCGCGCCCTAGCACACAGTTCTTACACACACTCACACCCAAGCACACACATGTACACGCTCATGCTTACACACTCATGCTCACACCCCTTTGCACTCACAAGTGCACATCTTCCAGCGCCTGTAGGAGGAAGTCTATCAGATGGAGGAGGAAAGCTATCAGATGGAGGAGGAAGGCTATCAGATGGAGGAGGAAGGCTATCAGATGGAGGAGGAAGGCTATCGGATGGAGGAGGAAGGCTATCGGATGGAGGAGGAAGGCTATCGGATGGAGGAGGAAGGCTATCGGATGGAGGAGGACAGCATTCGGTGTCTGCACTCTGAGGTTAAAGTCTGCTGACACTGGCCCAGCAGAGGTCCCAGGCTCCCAGGGACTCAGTTTTCTCATTTCTTTGCCACAGCATCAGCATCAGAGGGTGGAGTGTGTGGGTGATCATCCCAGGAGGTCTCCCTGCTGGCACAGCTGGGCCCAGCAGCTCCACCTTGCCCTTCTCCGCTGGCTTCCTTCTCAGGGTGCCCCCCTTTGTGGAACCAGGGCTGGGGTGGGCACCCCGGGAAACTTTGAGTCCCACAGCTGTCAGGACAGCAGCCCTTTTCCTACTGGCTCCCAGACAGCTCTGACTGGGGGGCATGTGCCAGCTCAGCATTTTGGTGGGCAGGAGTGCATTTTCACTCTTGCATCAGGATGGGAACTGGCTTCTAAAACCAGGTGGCCTAAGGACAGGGCAGACCCCCAAGGGATATTGGTGGGAAGCACAAGCCCCAGAAAAGGAAAACACAACACCAGAATGTCATTCTGTAGGGAAACCGTTCTGGTGCCTGTGCAGCATACAGAGTGACCAGTGAAACTCATTCCGCAGAAGAGGTAACTGAGGCTTTAGAGGGGCAGAGCGCCTTGTCCAAGGCCACTGAGGTGGGCAGGGAGAGCAATGGTGAGCCGTGGGGGCCTTTGAGCAGGAGAACACCACAGGCCAGGGTGGAGGATGAAGGAGGAGAAAGTGGAAGCAGGGAAGACAGGGCGAGCAGTGGAGACCCTGGATGTGCAAAGCACAGGAGTAAGGCCCGTGGTGAGTAGGGCGGGCCCTGTGGCCGGCTCTTAGAGTCTCCAAGCTATTGGAGCACAGATCAGGACTGTAGGCCGGAAGTGGTGATAAGGACCTGCAGCTCGTCTAAGGTGGGTGACCCCAGCCCTGTCCTCCAGTCCTGTAGTGATTTAGTTTTCTCATGAATCTGGTCCAGCCTCCCTGGCACAGGAGCTGACACTTGTTTACTGAATGACCCCAGTGCCCTACACTGGTTTGCTAATGTCCTTTGTATAATACAGAGCAAGAAATGGATATAATTATATTATATAATTATAATGGATATAATTCAGCTGAAGGGAGGGGCTTCTCTAGCTGTAGTATAAATGACACCCCTCTGAGCTTGTGAGACAGCCGTTGGAGACCACATCTTTGTTTTGCTATCAAATTTGTTCCATCATTTCAGCTTGTGGTCAGCTAAGACCTTTAGATCATTTTCATAGGAGCTTTTGATATGTCATGAAATCAATTCCATTGTTGCTGAGAGCTGGGCTCTGGTTCTTCACACTTAGGTGGTTCTGCCCCTAATCCTGCCACTAGCTACAGCTTATCCCTACTGGTGCTCTCCAAGGCTCCCTAGAGATTCGAGGTGTTTCTTTGCCTAACTCTACCTGTGACAGGGCCTGAAATGGCACCGTGCTTTTCGTTTCTTCTTTGGAAATCCAGATTAAAAACGTGAATGTTCTCTGAGCAGGAGATGGCCTGAATTAGGTCAGTTTTTCCCCAGTTCCAGTCATGTGGGCGTCACAGGCTGCATGCCTCAGGATCTTATGGATTTAACATCACTCTTGCAGTGGGCCCGCCCTCAGGTCTGTACTGTGCTGTGCCCAAAGAAGCCATGACCATACAGTGATGTTTGTGAGCTGGTTTCATACCTATCATCCTAGGGTGCTGCCTTCCCCACCTCCGCCCGCAGGCTATGGAGCTCTCCACTCCCCGTGGAGGGAGGGCGGTGGCCAACTCCTCTCCCAGTCTCAATGTTTCACCCTCCTTTACAGTTCCTCCTAGAAAGAGGTGGGCATCCCATGCCTGGTAGTACTTAGGCCAGTGGAATTGGGCTGCGGCGCTGGTGGCCCCCTTTGAGGCATAGGCCCTGAAAGCACAGGTCTCCTCTGTAAGCAGCCCATCCTCACCACATGGCCTCCAGGCCACAGGCGTGTGGGGTAAGTCCGTGCTTTTGTTGCATGAGCTCCTGTGGTTATTGTGCTGTGTCACTGCTGCCACAGCTGACACTCATAGGTCCTGAGGGGCTCTGATAGGGGTGGTCCAGCAAAGGACATGCAAGGCCACTTCTACAGGAGACAACTCCAGGGCTGCATGCTGCCTTGTGAGCTGTGATGCTGGAGGTGGGACCCCAGGCTCCAGCTGAACTTTGGCCATAGGCATGCTGGTGGTTTTGAGCCAGATCTCACCCTCTCTGATCCTGTTTTCCCACCTGCGGAACAAGAAGGTTGGACTTGGTCTCTGACACCTGGTTATCCTGATCTGCTCTCACTCCATCTAGCAACCTCTGGTCAACTTGACTATGTGTGACACCTCTGGGTGATGCCCCCCCCCGACCCCGCTCTCCACACGCACACAGCAGAAAGTACTTCCTGGTGATGATTTTAATTACAACTCATATAATATATGAGTCATATAATAGCTGTCTCCAAATAATAGCATATATCAACTTCCATCGAGGCTATAGTACTCCATATGGATTACATCCCCAAGGCAAGTTTGTTGTGGTCCCACTGTGTGGATGGAAAGACTGAGCCGAGAGGGGCTAAATGACTTAACAGAGCTTGAACCAAGGAGGTGATGCCTGTCTAGTTCCAATGTCCTTTTCCTAATCCCCTCTCCCTGGGATGTCTGAGGCCTGGTAGTGGTGCTCTAAACCCTCAGAGGCTCTGTTTTATCCTCCTAGGCCTGTCACAACAAAGCAACATAGAACAACAGAAAGTTATTCTCCCACTGTTCTGGAGTTCAGAAGTCTGAGATTAAGGTGTCAGCAGGGCTCAGACAGCAAAGAATCCACTTGCAATGCAGGAGAACTGGGTCAAATCTCTGGGTTGGGAAGATCCCCTGGAGGAGGGCATGGCAACCCACTCCAGTATTCTTGCCTGGAAGAGCCCATGGACAGGGGAGCCCGGTGGGCTACAGTCCATAGCGTCACAAAGAGTTGGACACGATTGAAGCGACTGAGCACTCAATGCTTAACAGCCCTCAGCATGGATATTGGTGCTGCAGCCACAGACCTGGCTATTTTTTGGCCACTAGGGGAGTACGGGCACCCTCTTGGTGGGATATCCACGTGTTCTCCTTAGGAATCCATGTCTGCAGAGGACTGAGCCTTGAGTGGCCTTTAGGGGGAAAGGAAGGGACAGGGCTGTTTGGGGGTGTCACCACTTTGCCAGAGAAGAGGAAGGGGCTGTTTACACACCAGCTCTCCTGGAATGGCCCCCACAACTGCAGAAAATGCTGTCTCTGGGGCAGGGGCTGAATGAGAGGGTACAGAGGTGAGGACATGTCCTCAATGGCCTACCAGCGTGTACATTTTGATTGTGGACCATGAAAAAGAATTGCAGAAACGATTTCAAAAAAAATTTTTTTTTCATTAAAAATAGCTCCAAACCTTAAAAAACAGGACCTACCAGGTAGGCAGGGTGAGGAGCCAGTGAACTAATGGATGGAAACACCACTGGCCTGGCCCCTGCTTGCAGTGCTATTATTAGCTACCGGCCCGTGCTGGCCTCTGAGGTGGCTCCAGGCTCGGCAGCCTTGGCTGAGCAGAGATGGACCAGGCCCCTCCATCCTGGTCCAAGGAAGCCTTCGGAGCCAGCGTGGCCTGGCTTGGCCTGATGTCGATGAACTTAGGGGATAGGCCGATGGAGGGCCCATCAGGAGGCCCCACTTCTGCCAGAGGCTCCTGCGGCCTCTGGACAGGTGTGAGAGCCCCTGGGCCTCCCGCCTTCACACAGCCTTTTCCGGCCCTGCCAGCTCTGCTGCCAGGCCAGGCAGCCCTCGGGCCTTGGCAGCCCTGCGAAACCTCCAGCTGGGCGGATGATGGATGGGGCCGCGTCAGCACTGGCCTGAGAGTGGATTTTGTGTGTGTGTGACATTTATTTACTGTCCGTATAAACACTAACACCTATGAAGCATGCTCCCCGTGTGATAGCTTGGCTGAAGGCAGCTCTTAAATACATAAATTATGCACACCTCGCTAATGAAGGTCCTGACAGCCGGGAAGTTCTATTTACCACGGGCCGAGTTTCCATATAAAACCCGGCACCAGCGAGCCAGGATTTGTGCATGATCACAGTCCTGCCTGTTCAGACTCCGACTCATTTCTTTCTTCTTTTAAAAAAAAATCTCTCCTATGTCTTCTTTTTTATTTCCCCCTTTTAAAGGTTTGACATAAAACCGAAGTCGATGTGTAACTTTGCTGCCTGGAGCACACGTAGGAAGCCAGCCCATCTGGCGCGGGCTTCTCTGACGGGCGTGTGCAAGAACAATATGTGGTTTGACAAATTTCAAGGCAGGCTTATGAAAAAATAACAGTGGCGCAGCCGTCGCGGTGAATGCCCGTCCACCTGCGGGCGCGGGCAGGGGTGCCAGGCCCATGAGTCAGGGTGCCCGGTGGGGGATTAGGAGGCCCCGTGTAAATCACCGTCGGCCTGCACGTGTCGACACAGCAGCGTTGTTGTTCCTGAGACCTGTCTCCACCAGCAGGGTGCAGCTGTCCTGGGCAGGGGTGGGAGGCGGGGTGCGTCCTCCCTCAGGGAGCCTTGAGACACTCCAGGTAGGGTGAACCTCGGGCCTGACCTCTCTGGAGACTCAGTCTTCTCATCTGAGAAAGGGGTGCATGTGGTGGACCATGGCTTCAGCTGAGCCCTAGCAGCAGAGCCCGTCTCGAGGGCCCAGGCTTGTGAGGCTGCTGGGAGAGGCATGGGGGTCTGGCCTCCAGGCCGTCTTGTCCTGAGGACTCCAGCCAGTCATCGTGGGCACACTCCAGGGTTGCCATATACTGCGTGGCCTCAAAGGCCTCTTATCATTTCTGTGCCTTGGTTTCTCCACCTGAAAATTGGAGCTGATAACAACACCTGCCTCTGAGGGGTGCTGTGAGCAAGCACTCCCCTCGCTGGGCCAGACCCAGAGTGGCTAGGCTATCTGCTAGGGGATTTTGCGTGCTTCATGTGGGGCTGGGGCCCTGCCAGGAGGGAAGCAGGGGGAGGCTGTGGCCTGCTCTATGACCAGCCTC